TGACCCCGTATCAGGCGTCGTACATCACAGTCGATATCCAGAAACATTTTTAAGTTAAAATTTTATCATATGCCCACTGAGATTATTACAGTGTGTATTACAGCATGACTATGACGAAAACGAAACCACCGGAACATTAACCAAATAAAATTTTTCGTATCAATTTTATATCCGCTAAATCAACTGGGAAATTATTGGCCACTCTTACCGAAGTTCAACGAAAGTCTGTTTTTAAGAAATTGTTGCATGATTTCTAAGTCACCTCGACTGTTATCGCTTGTGAAGTCACAGTTAGGAGTAGAACTGGACGAGTTTCCCTAGAGAACCACTGAGATAGCATTAACCCTAAAAAGCTGTGTTTGTTCTACAATGCAAATTTACTCGACATGGGCCTATATTTTTTAGAGAGCTTAATTATCGATGATTTTAGTTACAGAACAATAATCCTTCCATCGGTTTACCGCCTCATCGTGGCTAGGAGGTATGCATGGGTGTCGAACTGCGATGTACAGCGGGAGAATCATCCCCTGGCAGGGTCACCCAAACTGAGAAGGAGGGAGTCCGGCGTTTCCATCAAGAAGCCCAGTTTAAAGTAAACCAATACTAGGATCTACCACCGTCTTGGTATCAAAGTCATATGGTGGTAAATGTAAATCTCCCTCTGATCCACAAGGGCTGCGACTGCCCGTGGTGGTGAAGACCTGGGACAGACTTTGGCTAGGCTGAACTCGGGACTCCAGGAAACCATAATGGCTTAACCAGCAAATCTCCGAAAAATGGAGATTATGCTAGGGCCCACACAACCAGTTAGGGCGGGCCAATCAGGTATCAAGTATAAAGTAAGTAAGAACAGCAATAGTGGTATGAAAGAATAAACCTGATGTTCGCAGCTTCGTTTAAATGACAACATTCAAAAGTTTCATTATCCCACTCCTAATAAAACTTCTTCGTGTTGTTTCAAGAAGAAAATAGTATTGCACATTTCAAGAATTACAATGAAGTCTTTACCGGCGTGATCATTTTTAGTTACGATTGCAACAGCTCGTTGCCAATCGGCGATGGTTGTCGATGCGTATGCAAAATTGTGGAATATCTAAATGAACGACCGCAGATCACTACACAACAAATCATTTAACTGAACTTATATTACTAATGCTAACATATTCGATAACGTTGGTCATCGTATTTTGGCCGAATGTTTCGTCAATTGTGTAGAAAATCGCTGTTAGACGCTTCGAACATGAAGTGATACCCTATAAATTCGCCATTACACAATAAAAGCAACAATGATAAGAGCATTAACAAGTGTTAGCAACGGTGATCACTGGTTTCCCCTATTTAATCCCGTTAAGCACCTGGTCGCAAGAAAGGGCACTAATAGAGTTTCCATTAATCCCCATTGCACCAGACCAGATTCCAAAACTTATGAAACGAGAAGGTCACATCTTCCGGATGAGTCTCCTTTTTTATTGTCTTCGGCACTACATTAGCCATTTGTTGTGACAGGACAGCTGAGTACAGTCATAGTTAGCCTGTCGGTTTCATCTTCTAAGCTGGGCTGATTTGTTGGAGATGGCTGCTAACCTAACATCTTTTCAGTCCTTTCAATGTCCTTGAATGACATGAAATTCTCAATGAGCTCAAGGATAGGAAAACATATTCGACTGAGCGTAAATAGGACGAACACCCAGTTTACGAAGAACCCATGGTTTAATTAAGAAAAATCGAACTGAATGGTTCCCTGGCTACAAAACCACCTCGTAAACCACACAAGAACACTTGCTCACATCTAGCCAATTATTATTGGACATATTATGAAACGTCCCAGAACCATCAAGCCTTCCATCTACCTGTGATCTGCAAATTGGTACCAGACTTGACAGCAGCACTGCTTCGATACATCGGCAGGTCACCGCAAGTCATTGTAAAGGTCAGATGTGCATTCAACCATTTCCAACGATGCTTGATGAAGTCGAATGCATGACACATCCCTCAAGGGTTGATCAACGCCAATAGCTTTATCCCTTATTTGTTTATACTATAAAAAATCTATGCTAATCTGATACAGAAAGGATAGAGAGTTCATCGTCTGAATCAGTCTGTCATTAAGCGTCAAGGAAGAGACAACGAATGCTATATGTCAGTGCCGACGTATTGCTTCTAGAGACTCGTATCAGCTTTCACTACTTCCTTAAAGTTTTTGTTGAGTTGCGATGTCGTCTGTCTCCTCATGTTGGTCGCTTAACCTTAGTTCTGGTCACAGTTGGTTGTTTGAATTCCTTCCCTTTCATTAATACACAGAGCTACCGCCACCATGTCGTCAAAGGGTATACTTTCAATACTTTAGCAGTCCTCCTTAATTCCTATTGCTAGTCATCTTGGTTGCCAGACATCGTTTTGAAATGAGAAAACGTCCCATCATTTACCGTTTCCTTCGAATTTGGTCTTTTTTGTGCGCTGGTAGAGAGGATCAATTTTAACTGTAAACAAAGAAAATTTCTAGCACTAGGTACTAGATAGGAATGTCCAGTGATGTCTTTTGATTCTTAGCTATTTCAACAGTGTGGGAGGTTTTTATCGTACGACTCAAATAGAGCTCTAGCGAAATTTAGGAAGAATTTGGTTGAATGTTTTGAGTTGTTTTAAAATCTAAGTTTTCCACTCCCAAGTCTTTTGATAAACAGACCATTTCTGTATCGTGAGCCACTATGTACAGTGATTTTCTTCGTATTTTTGTTGAGAAAACGCTTTGCGTTTGCAAACGTTTGCGCGTTTGCTCAACAAAAATACGAAGAAAATCACTTGATCAATGCCGAGGTTAATAGAAAGTCGGTCGATCCATCATCCACGAAGACCCGGGTCAAACCATTTTGTGTGCGCTCGGCGGCTGCTTGAGGTCTCCCGACCATTATGAATGTCGCTGAATGCTGGCATATTCAACTCTCCCTGGAATCTTAGAACAACCGTTCTAGTGCGTTTCAACGTGCATTGGAGGCAATGTACTGGTCCCAACCAAGCTTGGTATTAATTTCCCGGACTTGGAGAAATGGGAGGTTTAGTGAGCGTGTAATGAGGTCTAATCGATACCGTGCTCGGAATGAACAGCATCACTACCATTGTGCTACAGGCCCGATGTTTATCATAGTCTCCTTATAATACAATTTCTTCACTAAAATTTTACTCTTTGAGAACGTGAATTCGATGAGTCGATGATTCCTCTTTTATCAGTGGCTACAACATGTGAAATTACCACGAAGGACACCAAACCGTCTCTCTTGTAAACTCCTCATTTGCAAGTAAAACTTTCTGACCAAGTATGGCTTGGAAAATACAGCAGACATGTTGCTACATTCGTCAATATTTTTATGAATCTAATCCAAAACAAAAGTAGAACCGAAGACGCCATTATCTATATGTTTTTCTCTCAAAGGAAACACACATTGCCTTTTGGCCGATGTTCAATCCCTTGTGCCGCGAACACCGTCTTCTCAGGAAGTCCATAACTAACTAGCCATAACCACTATCAGAACAGAAGTTGTTGCACGAAAATTTTTCAAAGCATCAATGTTTTACACTAATTTTATCAAGGAGTGTAAGAAACGCTTCCTTGCCTCAACTACTCGAACTAGCCTTAGCCTGTCCTTTTCTTCGGAGCTCAAATCCTGCGGTCGAATTAATTCGACCTCAATGGCACGAGTTTTGTTGACGATATGTAGCACTTCGTCCACTTTCCATTCCAAGTAAACTGACAAAGATTCCTGGAATTATCAGAACTATTTTTTCGAAAACAAAGTTTCTTCTGCTTACTGACTCTTTTCCTTTACAGCGGTAATGAGTCAGTTTTCACCCAAAAGAGTACATTAATGACATTGTTTTGATGACATTTAGTTAACGCTCTTCATTAAACTATGAATTGACAGCATTTCAGTCATTTCTACTACGGAAAACCATCACGAGATACTTGAATTTTTTTCTAAATAGACTTAAACAAAAGTACTTGCTGATTTTCGTCACATTCTCATTTCTGACTTTACTTCAGTACGAAGCTTTACTCAGCCACATGTTCACCAACATGCCATTTTTTGGGTAAACTCGAAATTCCGCCCTTCCAGAAGAATACAATTTGTGGTTCCATGAAACTGGTAAGAGGACTTCTGATGTTCACATAGTCCTCGTAGTATCTTCTTCAGTAGGTGCTGATAGTCCACTGCTTTGAAACAAACGACAGCTTGAAGACGCTACGTCTAAACGGTGGGATGGATGCCAAAGTAGCGTAGCATCCAGCTCATAAAGTTATACGCAAATCAATTTTGTCACCTCAGACCCGTTTTTGTTACGCAAAAGATTTATTTTGACTCCTACTGACTCTTTTCCTTTACAGCGGTAACGAGTTTACAAATTTATTTTCTGTAGTAGATATCATAGATCACCTGGTTCGGAACGAGAATTTACCACAATACTGTGCTTTGCCTGTCCGTGGACAGACAACAGACACTAGCGATTTCCGTATAAAATTTGGTGGTCATCTGCAACCAGATGGTAGAAGCGTTATCTTCTTAGCACACCCAAGCCCCATCTTCATCGGGAAGATTTTTGGATTCAATTAAACTGGCACAGATTCATAGATGATGAAATAACACAGGCCGTTCTAGATCAGAGTATTAGGGTAGCACGCCGAGTTAGGTGACGGTGATGTAGGGAAACGATCTGCCTTCCCTACGTCGTATGTCTTCGAGTTTACTGTATAATTTACTGTATAATTATAACTGTATAATTTACGCTTATTCGCATCTTCAATTTTATGTTTAATTCTACCAATTTTTTGGGAAACTATTTCGCAAAGTCTGAGAAAATCTATATTTGATAAAAGACCTAAGGGAGAGCGTCTGACAGCAGCAGTTCAGTAAACAGGAGTTGCTAGGTGTTGGAGGATTATAGGAAATCCGATGCATCATATGCGGTTGGGCTTATTACAATCGGTCATCTCCGTCACTTGTAAACAATCCATCTTTCTTCACTCTAGTAGAATCCCATAAATAAGATCATAAAGCAACTCGAAGTTTCTCATAAATAGGATCGTAAAGAAACTCGAAAAATGTCCTTCGAGAACAACCCGATGGTCACACCGAGACCTCATTTCCAAGAGCATTAGACAGACGTTAGTAGATATTGTCTAAAAATGCTGACGCTCTCTTCATTTGGAGATCAGTGACGGTTTTGCTTAGTAGTTGTTGGTTGATTTCGTTCTTTGCAGGTCAGCTGACAAATGTTTTAGGAGTTCCTTCAGAAACGCTAACTTTTGATAATGCTGATTTTGTTTCTTTTTCTATTGATCGATTGCATGGAGCACATATCCATTGTACTCCATTCTTCCTATATATTTTCACTCCACTCTGTTTGTAATTCTTAGTCGAGTCATATCTTGACATAAGGAGGTAGTTAGAGGTTACCTTTTAGAAAAAAGTGGAAAAAATAGAATAGAAGATCTAACTTGCACATATATTTGTTAAAATCTTAAGAGATTTTCAGAGAAGTACATTGATTGCTCTTCTGATGATTGTTCTTTACTTATTTGGGCGATCTATTAAGATTTTTGTGAAACAACTGACTAGCTGGGCCCTCACTCACCATAAAACATGATTCGTTGGACTTTGTTGAGCCGACAAGTCCTGGCAACCACTGTTGGATTACTGAATGAATTAACGAGACATGTGCTAAGGTGTATGATGGATGTTCGACAAGCTGATCCTGAAACAAACGAGATCCAACGAAAGGATAGCAAGAACGAAAACCTAGCAGTTGTTTCTATGCAAAATTCTAATGCAAATATCAATAACAAGTCGATGTTTACTTAAAGCGTAGAAGAACAAAGCGTCGATAGCGGCGCTGAGCAAAATTTCCTGAGCGATGACCTATGCATTCGATTCTATTCCTTTTTCATGCGTATTTAGCCTATGCAATCACTTGCAGGAGTCTACCGATATTGTAAGCTGGTTAGTTTAGTTAGGCTGTTTTTTTGTCACCCTCGTATTAGTTTACCAGTGAAAGAATATACATTCACCAGTCATGCCGTAGTTCAAAAGAAGTTGTTTTTTGCAATATTGTTACGCTTTGTACCTGCTGATAATGATAACGACTGCTTCAGGATGGATTGCCTGGCGAAAAACAAACAATTGCCAACGGGCAATCACTATCAACAACCGCCCTGTATAAAAGAGCGGTGCCGAGTTTTCTAGAGGTCACTTCTAGAAATTCCCACGACCGATTTTCTGTTAACCTCGACATTGATCAAATAATTCTTTATATTCTTGTCGAGCAAACACGACGTGTTACTTTATTCTTTATTCTGGTAAAGGTGACGTTTCGACAGTAGAGCGTTCTTCAGAGCGCGGAAGGGGATATTGATATAAAACCTATCATGCTAAACGCTACAGCACCAATAACACAAACAGGAAGATGAAAATCTTAATGGTTATTATATGATCAACAGCTTCTTGAAAGACGCACCGTTTTTTATGTGTCTTCAACTAAAGTGGGTATTTTTTACCAAGGTATTAGTATTACGAAAACCCACATCGAAAGCAGGAAGAACTGGACAATCGACTGGGATAAACGCGGCTCTGAAGAAGACGAAGGCGCCACAGAATTTTTTATCAACTCGTTGTTAATTTACCAATGACAGAACGCATTCATAGCCTGTGTTTCAATCCTCAAAGCAGATATAATGGCATCAGTCTAGCGATGGCGAAGAGATGATGGGCGTTCATCTGCAGCAGAGGATCGAACAAACAGCTATGTATGAGTAGCTGAGCATCCCTAACCACTGCGATACATGTGACTTTGTGTCTGCTTAATGCTTTCGTGTTTGTTTTCTTTAAACAAAGTTTAAGCAGTGCTTTGAAAAACGTTGCATGACAACAAATGCAGTTGAAGCTCTGTATGTGGTGATAATTCTACTGAAGCCCATATTCCACATCCATCCTATAAAATTTTGGAAAATTTTTGAGAAAAAATATGAGGCCGAAAAAAGTAGCCGTGAGATCGTAAAAAAGGCACAATAAAAATAGGTCTTCAGAAACAGATTAGCCAGAAGGCATAGTACTGAACAGAAAATCCTGAGATCAACCTGTAGCGTGATGAGACCTGGTGAAGAATGAGATGGAGCTCGAATAGGAGCCGAGATAAATTTCAGCTCCTTCAGCGGGTATGGAAAACGGGTCCAAGCTGTCATCAACGTCATTACCTAAGAATTTTTACTTGTTAATTTTTATTTTATTTTTTTCTCTACGCGTTTTCTGTTAGATACCAGAAATGAAGGGTCCAACATCTAAATACTCAAAAATCGTTCTGTTCATTAGCAATTGTTATTATTTTACCTTACACGATTCCCGATAAATCCATTCGTGTTTCTCACGTTTGAAGTTCTTATTTATGGAGAAAACGATTTCAATATCGGGTATATAGGTGCCGTTCAAAGTTGTAGTGTTGTAGATTAAAGTCTCGGCCTGTTATTAAAAAAAGACACATGAAAATGATCATATGAAGGATGAGGCTCTTCATAGAAAGGCGTACATACATTCTCGAATCCCGCAAATGCTATCTGTTGAACTGCTAATGGAACTGTTCGTTGAAAACACGTTAGCCCATCGGTTGTTACAAATTTTATGGCCGAGTTCGATCTCACACGGGCAGTCGGTGCGAACATCACGCAAAGATCCAAGGTGGCCTGAAAAAGTTTTCCTTGCGCAGAATAGTTTACAATTGCAAAGGCAGATTTTTTACTGGTGATACCTATTTGTGTTCCTCCTTCTATAGCCTATTCCCTCATCATGCAAGTCTGTCGCTGGTTATGCAACTATGATGTGCTACGCGGAGCAGGACCATTACTGCTGAGCGGTTATTTCTTTAGGCAAGAGAAATCCTGTTCCACGGCAGACAGAGCCCATAGAAGCACCCACAGATTGATTCTTGCCAAAAGTAGTAAGGGACCCTCTCCTTCCCTCCAATATGAAGCATTTTGATGGTCTTCATATTTCTTAAGTCAACTGAGGCGCCACTAAGGAGCTCTGGATTACGACGATAGAGGAGAATAGATGCTTTAGCAACGTTCATTGGGTAATAGGACGAATAGAGCCTTTCGAACTAAGTGAGAAACTGGGATACTTGTTTCAAATGGGAAAGATGATATCTGCTGAAAAAAATAAACAGACCTTAAAAGCCATGTTGTCTAGAACTGGAAAGATCTTCCTAGCGGCACCGTTTGTCAACAGTGTTCCTAACATCATTGGAGCGTTTTTATCCCAACGGACAGCAGTCTATAAGTTACACTGATGAGGATGGTTAGTTGTCTAGTTGTTTGTTTATTGATTTATCTACTTAATATTTTATCCTATTAGTAGACATGTGAGACAAAACGTGTGTGCTCGTTAGCATATGCAAGCATTTCATGGAAATCTCGAAGCAAACTTTATATTTAAACCCTGGAACTTCACTATGAATTAAAAAAAAGATAGAGGATAATGCGTTCCGAGCATATCAATGTGCTGAGCAAGCGCCTTGCATTCAGCTCCATTCATAGAATCGTAGAGATGAAGAGGAATGAATAGGGCATACGCATTCGGCTTATACAAATTGTTTTGTTAACTGGCAGACGACGCGCGATTGAACCAACAACATGTGTGCTTTAGTCCCTGCGCTATCCCCACCCTGCACACAAAACAAAAGGAGAAATAGCGGCAAAAAACTTATTTTGTAATAAACTAGAGAGGAATATTAATGTAATATCAGATTTTTTCGTACTTGCCTTCTCAATAACACCATTTAATTATCATCTTAAGGATACAATAAAGTTAAAATATTCTTCTTAGCATCGACTTTTCATTTACTGCCTTTTACAAGTTTTCACGGCAGAGTATTATTTATGAAACAACAATGGTGGAGAGATATTTGCAAAACTCTAGATCGCAGGTGTCTGCGGTGGGGAATGAACGCACTATTACTCTTTCCGGGGGCTAACGCTTTTTCCTTTTCGCCCTCCTTTTCCCAGGTTCCCCACCGCAAACACCTACAATCCGCAGTTTTGCAAATTCTTATTAGTATTTAATCGGCATAATACTGTCACCGCTAAACTTCTTCTGAAATAAAGCGAATTCTACAAGCTCCTCTCTATATTGCTTTTAGTTTTTTTCATTTCATAATTTTTTGTTCTGAAAAACTGTGGGTGAAATAAGTGAGGATAAAAACCTGAACATATGTAACTTTCATGTTGTCCACAGACGAAAATTTAACGACGTCAACACGCAGATTCGTACCCTAAAGAGTGAAGATTCTGATCTTATGAAACCACGAAAACTTTCGAAAACACTATTTTTAAAAGTGAAAATTGCAAAAAAAATTATTTCGGAAATGAAGAAAATCAGGAAAAAAAATTCTGTAGGAATGACAGAAAATTGACGTTGCATTGTGCGCACTTCTATGAAAGAAGCACATCACCAACATCACTTTTGGGAAATTAATGAGGCATTTAAGGAAACCATAACAAGGACATGCGAACTAAAGTAAGACACTCCCACCAAAAAAAGAGTGGCCAACAATTTTTACTGTATACTTCTATTTCACACGTGCACAGCCGTGGAAAATTCCGCAAAACTTACTGCTTCAATGGTCTCTAAGAGTATGAGAGATAGTAGTTGCTCACGTTGGTCGAAGACTGTTTTTGTCACACACAATGGTAATCCTAAAATTTTCTAGGTCATTATTAATTTCAGATACGCTATAACTAGATATATTTTGATCACTTCAATAGAGATTATGGACTTTACATAGAAATATTAGTTGCCACCGAAAATGCAGTGGTAGAGACAACGTCTAGTAATATTGCAAGGACGACGGTTTGAACCGGGTGCGGGTCACACAGTCCTCCCATCCATCCAGGGTTGGCGAATTGGTACTAGACTTATCTAGGAAAAACATTCTTCGCTCTGCGAAGGCCGACGAATACCTCCTTCGTGAAGACCGCTCTAAAACTACTCTCCCAGGACTTCAGATGAGATTCGCTAGACCAGAATTGGACGACATTCATGAGAATGAGTAGTCTTCAAGTAGTATCCGAAACACAAATCTGTGGATCTTGGTAAATGATGTATGTGAGAAAACGAACCGAATGAAGGAAATGATGGAATCTGCGCAATATCTGGTCTCTGATCACAAAAAAGCAGAACTGAAGCAACTAAGTATTATTTTATTGGTTGAGCCGACAGTTAGAGCCGAGCTTGTTCATTGTAAAAGAAAATTTGTTGAGAGCACCATCTCAGGAAAAATAACCGCTTTTTTGACAGAAAAAGAAGAATGGAGTGGTTAAACGATGTTATAAAAGCAGTCATAATTGGGATTTATCGAATTCTTCTGCATTTAACTTGCAGACCACCTAACTGCTTTAACGTTAACCCTGCACATTGATGGAGCCTGATGACAATAACAAATGTTTATAGGCCACTTGTCGAGACACCTGTGTATGAAAGCTTGGTGAATTGATGATGAGTCACGTTGTCCACATCTACTCAACCCATTGTCATTGTCCACAAAACTCCTCAGAGTAGCTGAAGCGCAGTGGTTATTAATGTCGCACAATAGGCACATAGTCACAGGATCGATCCAGCTCTGAGGAAACGGAGTCTATCGCTCCTTCTGCGTTGAGAAATTAGTGTTATTGTTGTCTGGGAAAAGTTCTTTCCGCTACATCACGAGTGCTGACTTCTTGTCATGGAGATCTGGAAACGCCCTACCACGGTTGTCCCCCTATACCAAGAAGAATTAAATTTACCGGCTTTCAACGACATTCATAAAAAAGACCTCAATTTTTTATCAACAGTCAAACCCAAAAGCAAGCGGCTCTTGTGGATGATGGACGCAAAGTAAGTGCGAGAATTGGCACAACATGTGAAGATAGATCGTATAAATATGCAATAATAATGGAGATTCATAAAGATCATAAAGATTCTGCTCTCTTTACCTTTGTTTTATAAACACTTTTATAAAGTACTCCAAAAACTCCCCAACACGTTAGGATGATTTTGGAACAAACAGTTCTGCTTAAAGGAGAGTTTTTTACGTGACTTGTCTACACATTTATTGTGCGAATGCTAGCACTTCTCGCATTCGATTAGTTGCCTCTCATCAGCCATTCACGAAGGTTTTCGAACTTTTTGCGTGTGAGCTAGGTTGGCCGCTTTTTGAGGATTATCGTTTTCTTTATGAATTTCGTTAAATTCTGGTAGACTTGAGTGTTCCTGGAGTCCTGCGGCAACCGGGGTATAGCTCGAATTGCGCAGAGTGAACATTTCCCAGGCAAGTATAATAGCAATTTCCTCGCCCCGAAGGAATAAAAGGCAAGACGAGCTCGGTTTTGGGTCGAACCAGTACTGTGTTTGTGAAGAACGGCACTTCTACCACTGCGCCACTCTTCTTCTTAAAATGGAATTACACATTGCAAATGTATTACCTTTTACGGCTTAGAGTTTCTATCTGTCTTCGAGCATTCAAACTTTTGCAAAGATGTGATAGAATTGGTCAGTAGAAAAATGGAGTCGGTGTTATGATAGCGTTAATGAATTACAAATGAACAAATGCTGAATTCAACCTAGAAAAAGGTTTTTTTAGATTTCTATAGGATATTATCTCACATACTTTGCAGATCCCAGCACTTCTTGCATTCAGTTGGCTTCCTCGCCTTCATTATTTATCGATTTACATGCGATTAACGGCTGTTACTTGAGAACTTTGCTCTTATCTATGAATGCTCTTGAATATCGATCTAGTCGATTCGCCCAGTTGTGGATCGGCGGAATCTTTGTCCAGAGCAGTCCGGTACCACTTTACGACCTCGAAGGGAGGACAGGCCTGGATGGCTTGGGGCGGATCGAACAATTTCGTTGGGGGTGTCAAGGGATATCTCCAAGACTGCACCAAGCCCCCGCACAGGTTATCTAACGATGTGAAGTCGCTATTCTATAACTTCGTCATCATTTCGGGACCTGTCCTGCAGCTGCTCTCCCACAACGATTCAACGACTGAAATGCAGCCGTTGAAATGTGAGACATAGCCCACTTGTCCATACCAGCTCCCGTCACATTACTATTTGTTAATCTGATGGATTCGTGAACTACCCAAGAAAGCTGTCCCGTTCTCAAAAGCTCTAGAAATGTCTTGCTCGAGGATAATGCTTAGATGTCCATAATATGATAGATGAAGTTGATTTTATACTGATCGAACACAAGCAATCTGGTAAAACAAAGCAATAAATCAAAGACAAAAACCCTTTTTCAACAATATGTTCCCTTTTATTTGTTCTGTAGTAGTTTTGATAGGTAAGGTATAGATTACTAAGCTGATCTGCGAAGCTGCAAGCCGTTAAAACTTGATGTAATAGATTTTATCATTGTCCTAGTTTTGAGAAGGGCGGAACATATGTTTTCTATCACTGTCATAAATTTCGACAGATTCTTCTAGAATACTGCGAATGTACTTCTAATGAAACGAACAACCTCATACCAGTAAAATAAACGAAATAGCGAAGTAATAAGATAAGGTAGTCAACAATGCTTACCAGTATCACAATTTACCACGTTTATGTGCTCAATGTTAACCAGCTCACTGTCGACGCTAAGGCTAATCTGAAAGGGAATTTATAAAACTTACATTAATAGAAAAAATTCGGCGATAATTATTATTCGCCCACTTGCTTTCCACGTTCGTTCATATGAATGAACATCTTCATGTCGCCGTTGAGAACGGTAGGTGTAACGGTTTTTATTGTAATGTTTAGACAATAATGAAGTGGTGAAATCATAAACCATGGAACAACACTGAAATAGTTTTCTGGCTTAAAAATCTTGATCCATGACTCTTCTTCTAATTATAGTTGTCACTAGACTCGTGTTAATAGCTTCGTCTACAATCTGCTACCACCTCAATTAAGTGCATGTAGGCGGTGAACGCGTTACTCCCCGGAAAGGACAATAGCGCGTTCGCAGTTTTGCAAATATCTCAGCATCATTGTAGTTGTTTCACAAATAATACTCTGCCGTGAAAACTTGTTAAAGGCAGTGAATAAAAAGTGAACTCTTCTTTCTCTCATGACCGACTTTCTGTTAACCTCGGCATTAATTGATAATTCAATGTTTTTCATCAATAAGCAGACACGAGGTTGTTCTTTCTTTTTTCTTTTTTCTTTTTTCTTCTTTCTCTCTTTCCTGGAAACGATGCCCAGTGAGTACTGAGTATTTGCAATTGGTTACACAGACTTTGAGACAGGATTTTGAAAGAATAAGGAAAGACCAAAACTTCCTTACAATGATCAACCTCTTTATTGGGTTATGTAATGTGTGAACTTTACCAATGACAGTTCTGATACTATAGATCGTTTTTTATAGTTTCCTACACTTATTAACGTCTTCCCCGTTACATGCAAAGAAAAGTTGCGTAAAAAGTCCAGGAAAATTAATTTAAAACACAAACTATGCTGTCGAAATGTACAAAATTCTCGAAGATCCGAGGTGGGAATCAGCAATATTTGCTTTAACAAGCACAACTGATAAGATCAGCATTTGGAGGAAACATGACGTGAAATATTGGAAACAAGGTAGTTTGTCTTTTAGCCAATGGTATGCTCTATGGAGTTCTAAGGTAAATCACCTTGGGCTGGACATATATGAGGTGAATCTAGGATATCTCCTAGAACCATCATAAGATTAGTGCGGAGACCGGTGCTCCAACGTTTCTACTTTTTAATACAATCACTGTCGGAAACTGTCTAAGTGATTCGCGTGTCCCAGGTGTCATGACGCGTGGTACGGCCGGGTCGACGAGGGAGAGTGGATTGGCGGCACCACAGATTTACGACGACACATCATACCAACTACACATGTTATCGGCCTCGTATGATATAATTTTGAGAAGAGAACTGATATGTTACACATAGCACTGAATGATGGAGACACCACTGCTAGCCAGTAGAAACCACACAGTATTCATTCGTTATTACATTGCCATTCGACACATTCGAAAATTCACTCAGTTTAGAGTTTTAGTCGAAAAAAAAGTAAAATCTAATTCAAACTTACACGCCATCATCGTTGATCTTCGGACAGCTGATTCGTTTTGCAGGAATGGAGGCACATACATCGACTACCTTAAATCACTCGTAATTCACAACGACACCGAAATCTCTGTTCTAGTTCGACCTTAGTGATTTCGTCGATAAGAGGGAAAGTGTCGACATCATTATGAGCTGAAGCTGCACTGATAGGTATATTGATGAAGGCATTTCCAGTAGTTGCCACGTGGTCCGGATGTCTAGTGATCTCGGCTACTACGATAGAATTAATCGCTGTCGTCGTCGTGGTAGATAGGGAGTAATCTAGAAAAGCGAGTCACGTCAAGGCTGTAAACTAAAAACTGTGAAACAAAGAACCACACTAGAAAACACACTAGTTGTAAGTAAGGTCTCATCAGACGCATCAGATTCGCTTTCCCTAACAGTAATAGAAGTAGTAGTAGTCCGTATCCGCAGTTTTCTACTAGATACGACAGTCTGTGTTGTTGTGACAGTCGGCACAATTATGGTGGATGTAGAAGGAACACTGGAACCTGGTAATGAGATCAAAGGCGAGCTGGTAGAATTTGAAAATTTAGATGGACCAATGTGATGCCTTCCAGCCATTATATACACCATTATGGCAGCACATAGCAGGACGAGTACGATAACAGTAAGTAATAAATAGAGTAGTGGCGATGATTTTGCCTTTTTCACTGCGTCCGACATGGCGCAAAGAATTTACGAAGGCTAAAGACGTGACGACTACGACCTGCTACTCTGGGCTCCACCCTTTGGCACACTAACCACGCCCAGTGGTCAGCAGATGTGGCACTTGTGGACAACACTTGAAGACTTTAGGGCTATCGGGCGCCATTGAGATGACCAGAATGAAGTTCTGAGTGATATCAAGAGCAAAACGATATCGCATTGGGTCATGCCGAAAAGATGAAGAGATGCCTAGGTGAATAAATACCGTCGCAATGATAGCGAACTGCAATGAGAAGCTTCACATTTCACAGTTACTCAAGCATCAATTTGGTTTAGTATATTTTTTTACTAAAAATAAAAGTTCGTCCAAGCTCTCTCAATAAGAAGTCTCCTAAAATATAGAAACGGATAAAAAAAACTTTCGACGTTTTTATTGGCGATGTCTACCAAGGCAATCCTTCAAGGACTGATTGATCTTTTACTCTTTTAGTTAAGAAATGGCTTTCAACTATTCTCCTAGTCATACTTTTTTTGGAATGTATTCAAATTACATGGTTTTTCCACGTTTTCGTTAATAGTATTTTAAAAAGGCGTAAATAAGGTAACGTTATAATATTGCGCATTAAAGGATAAAAGGATAAAATGTGGAATACATGAAGTATGCACTTTGCTAGGTACTTGATCAACCCCTGAGAGATGCACCATGCATTCGACTTCATTAAGTATCGTTGGAAGTGATTCAATGCATATCTGGCCTTTACAATGACTCGCGGTAGCCCCGCGGATGTATCCAGCCAGTGCCGCCGCTATCCTCCCAGACAAGCCTGGTACAAATTTACCGACCCCGGAGGGATAGAAAGCTTGGTGAGCCATGGGCGCTGGGATCGACTCCACGTGTGTGTCGCAGTGGCGCCTCCAACCTCTACACCATACGCGTCCATACTGCGCATTAGGAAAGAATAATAAGTGCTCTAGGGTTTAACTTGAAGAAAACGAAGATCATGTGAAACGAATGTGCTTCTCATTTTCCTTTCGAGCTCAATTGGATGGACATTTTCCGAAACTCTATGAATGCACATTCAGAACAAAAAGTCAAAGTAGTGAAAAAATAAGCTTTAAAACTGAAATAACGAAGCTAAAAAACGAAGCAAAGGTTATAAGAAAACTGATGCCACCGTGAAAGAAATGGAGTACCTAGCAAAGTGCATACTTCATGTATTCCACATTTTTTTCCCGTCAAACGCCTGGGCGCTGAATGAATAGGATGAAGGCGCGTAAACAGCTTTTTGAACGCGCGTTTTAGAGAGTAACTTTATAGCCAGGAAATATTAAAAGCGATGCATCACGATTTTATTGTCGAAGTCCGACAGCCTATCTCTTCGGTGAAAAAGCGGCATAGCATAACAACCAATCCGATGGGGTTCGACATGAGCAACTGAACAATCAACCACAAGTGCACATCGGTGTGCAATATACTGGTGCAATAGAAAATTAGCAAGCCATGTTGCTACGCAAGAAAAAGGAAAGAAGAATAAAACATTCACCGTTGATTAACCTCATCCCTGAAGGGTTCGCTATGCATTCAACTTCTCGAACCATCGTTAGACGTTACTGAATGCATGTATGATCTACGCAGTGAATTAGGCTAAGAGTAAACCTATACCAGGATCCACCACAATCCAGGTATCAAACTAGTCCCATGATGGCAAATCTCCCACTGATCCACAAGGGTCGCGACTGCCTGTGATGGTGACGACCTCGGGCAGATTTGGCTAGGCTGACCTCGGGACTCCAGGAATCACAGTGACTAAATCAACAAAACTCTGAAAAAAATGGGGATTATGCTGGCGTCCACACAACCAGTTAGGACGGGCCATCCAAACATCCAAGTAAGTAGGTGTATCAAGCAAGCAAGCAGTTCCTTCATTGTTTTCTTTGTCTTCTAACCTATTATATGAAACTGCAGTAGTCGGATTCGCAAGGGGGTTCGGATGCAGTTTGATGACTCATTCACTTCCATCTTTATATAATAATCATTGGTGGATGGAAATCATTTCTCTGAAGAACTAGGTAGCCCTTTCCTGATCTCAACCATAGGCGGTCACATGTGCCTGTGAATCAGCGTAGGGTTTTTGTCTTGTAACTTGGATTCTTCCATTTCAGAGACGATTCATTTAGCCGATTGATCGCTCGGACGGTGTAATAAGCTCGATCCCTCAAGTGAGCAAAGGTAACCAGGAATCCGACCTCAAACAAAAATAAGTGAACCTATGCCGAACGCTATGACATCGAAAATCATCTAGGTCGAACATGTGGTGTGCCTTATGGTGACCGGTCTCCAGGAATAGTTAGCAACTGCGCCGGAGAGTTAAGTCCATAGCTGAACTGCGATCCAAGATGAAACAGGACAATTCTAGGTGAGTCGAGTTGTCATAATGTCTGTTGGAGGACCACAGTCATAGAAGCCGCTCTGGGTCATGTTAGAAATGAATAGAAACTTTACCGATCTTTTGTTGCACTACTGGTCGAAAATCTTTTGATGGTTAAAAAATAGGTTAAGTAGTAAGCGATAAAAAAGCGTTTTTTTTTCTTGTTACATAGTTTCCAATACCATCTCTTTATCTTCATTCAGATCTGACGCTGCGAATCGTGGTCAGAAGCAATCGAATCCTAAATTGCGCAAGACGACCAGCATTCTGAGCAGAGACGGCAGATGACAATACTCATACTGCGTCTTGTTTTGCACGGAGAATATTATACTTCCGTCGACAGTTGTTATCGTTAACATCTTCCTCCTTCTTCCTATTTTCGGCTATTTTACGTCATAGATTTAACATAACGCGCACGTAGCGCAGTGGTTAGATCTTTCTTGCGATGCACATTAGATCAGAAAATGGTTCAATTCTGCTCCCCAGGCTCTCCAAGGCATTCATCCGTCGGAATCGGCAAATTGCACCAAATGTGTTTAGGAGGATGAAAAAAATGGTTTGATTCACCGAGAGGTCTCAGATCCAATGACATCCTTGTTTGAAAAAGCTCAGCATTAGCCGCAAAATGTGAGGACCGTGATTTTCACAGAAAACCTATACAGGTGGTATAAAACGCTTGTTTTCACAGCGTGTCCGTTTGAATACAACGTTTGAATTATCAATGCAGTTAACGAAGCGGAAAAGAGGTTGGACGGGACTGGCACAAATAAGATAAAGATTGGCACAGAACTAGCTGAGAGACAGGCGAAACGAGTGGCCACATGGTGTGGTGGTGAACGCGTTACTCCCCGGAAAGGGCAATAGCGCGTTTGTTCCCCACCGCAGACACCTGCGGTCCGGAGTTTTGCAAGTATTTCAGCATCACTGAAATGCGATATCCGTCAAGGCGATACCTAATTTTAACTAATAGCATAATAACAACCTCGTGTGTGCTCGTCAAGAAAGCAACGAATTGGTAATCAATGCAGTGGTTAATAGAAATTTGATTTTCTGCATTAAAAATAGACTAGAGTTATTCGATTTAATTAATTAAAAAGAGAGATACTAGTGTGGTTGAAAGACAAAACAGGCAGCAAAATAAAAGAATTAACATTGTGATTTCAACGGTAACCTCAGCTTAACTGGGTTCAATGCCGATTTCAGATTCCCAGATCAATCCCGTTGGCAGGTGATTACTGATGACACTGTTAGATTAAAAATATCTGGGAGACTGACGAAAAGAAGGGCCTGCATGGTGTGGTGGTGAACGCGTTGGCACCAAAATGGGTAATATGCGCGTTCGTTCCCCACTGCAGAGACCTGCGGCCCGGAGTTTCGCAAATATCTCCGCATCATTATAACTTAAAAAGAAACTGTTTCATACTAAAAATGCATGTATTTTTCTTGAGAATGGAGCCCAAAGCATCGCCCAACAAGACAAGAGGGCATTAATGGCAGCTCCTCGATTTACTCAATGATTGACGTATTAAAGTGGTAAAGGTGATATAACTCCTGATTCTCTATTTACAACCTTTATGCTAATTTGAGCTTCAGTCTGCTTCGTTGAGATTTCACTTACGTCATCTGTTCTACCTCTGATCGTGTCTTGAGTTTTTGCAATGTCTCTAGCCGTCCTTGTCTTACTGAAGGTTTTCTTAGTGAATATCGTTGTTTATTTACAAGCTTGTACGATATTGTTCTAAATCTTTATTGCAGCTGAAGTTTCGGCGGCATCGCCTTCCTCACAGTCAATGATTCGAATCGAGTGTCTACTTCAGCTGCTTTTTCTTTTGATCTATGTCTTCCTCGTTGTGCAACTAGTCGAATCCAGTGAATTAAAGCGCTGTACACACGAAGTAGCACTACTCAGAACTGCTCTTTCATACAAGACAGCTCTTACTACGCTGTAATGACCATACCTCACCAGACACCTCTCCTTTATATAAACCAGACCTTCTTTAATTGTGAACTAACTTTACTTTAATGCTTTTTCAAATAATTAAGCCAATAAGAGGTTATTATAAAGATTTTTTCGGATAAACCTCTCGGCGCCTTTGCTTTCTTCAAAGCCGTGTCGATTCACTTCGCTTTTCCACAGCCGGTCATTCTCGTAGTGTGAGGTCATCTTGGCACCGAGTCAAATCTTTTGTAAAATATAAGTTATTAAAACATAAAACTACTTGCTTTTGTAGTGATAATCCGTTCTAAAGTAATCAGAGGCAGCAGCCCTCCTAACGGTTTAGCCCCTCATCATGACTGCGATGTACAGCAGGGGGATTTATCCTCTCAGTAGGGTCTCCCAAGCCGAGAAGGAGCCCAGCGCTTCCATCAGGAAGCCCAGCTAAAACCAAACCGATACCAGGATTCACCACCGTTCTGATATCAAACCATTCGCATAGTGGCGAATCTCACTCCTATCCACAAGGGCGGCGACTGCCTGTGGGCGACTTTCAGGAGCAGACTTTGGCTAGGCTGACTCCGAGACTCCAGGAAGCCACAGTGGCTAAACCAAGAAAACTCTGAAAGAGTGGAGATTATGCTGGGATCCGCACAACCAATGAGGACAAGCCATCCAAGAATGCGAACAAGTAAGAAGCAGTCAGAATAATATTAGCTGTGATGTAGCAAAGCAAAATTTTCTGCGAGTATCTTAGTGAGCACTGCTTAGCTCTGAGTTTCCTAGTGAGTTTATATGGTTGCATAAAACGAAGAGTGTCATACTTTTTGCCTGTGGTTTTCGTAAGGAAATATGAGAAGAAAGTCGAAGGCCGTTCTGATGGACACTTGACTTTCTTTGAAACCCATTTTTTAGCTCCCACGACTGACTTTCTATTAACCTCGGCATTGATCAAGTAATTCTTCGTATTTTTGTTGAGCACACGCGAGGTGTTATTATTCTTTATTCACAAATGAGCTGACGTTTCGGCGGATTTCGCCTTCCTCAGAGCCTGGAAATGAAAAACCCATTTTTTAATTTCCAGCAGAAAATTTCAATGATTTTTTCGAAGCATATGATCTTTGACAAATTTGAAAAAAATTCGTATTGTCTCGTGATAATATGACGCTTTATTAACTGTTCGCATTACGACATAACATAGAAAAATTTGCGATAGCACAAATCCCTGGTTAATACGAAATCCTAATATTCACTTATTGTTGCTTATTGAAAGAAACTTTCATCGTAGTACATGTCAGTTGCATTTACGAAGAACATTTACGTCTAATGTCGACTTTTCAGCACACATTCACCTGCCACTGGTTTGTAACTCGGTGAGCACTGGCAAAGTCCAGTAGAACAAACTGCGCCAGGTCCGCAAGTATTCGTTGCGGTATAGCACGGAGCTCCAAGAGCCACCTAAAAAGCTGCTCTAAGAGGACAAAGTGTGGCGTAATGAAAAAACTTATCGAAAGACTCTGGCCTCCGTCGTACGACTTTGCTCTAAGGCGTTTCTATTTCGCTTGTGACAGTCGAAAAGAGGAGGAGAAATTATCGGAACTATTGGCCCAGGCCGGCGAATTCTATTTACAGTACATTTATGCCGAAAAATTTACTATGAGCTTTTCGACCCATTCTATGTTTTATTTCCCAAATATGCAACATGGGAAATGCTTTTGAGAACTCAATTTGAAAAGTCTCAATACATTGTCCTTTAAATTAAGTCGTGTCTCCATAATAGATCTATGAAACCATCAAATTTTGCATGAAGCTCTGTAATTTCAAGAAACAGCTTCTCTTTCTATTCCAGAAATCAGTCGTTCCTTTTTCAACGTCTTATACTTTGGCAGAAGTTAAAGAAAGAGAAAACGATTGAGCATACAACGAAAAAAGAGAAAAAATTACTTCTTTTCAGAGAAAGATTGAAAAGGCTTTCCTCTTTCTGTCATCATCTCGGTAGCGAAGCTATATATGGGTCTGAAGGATTATTTTAGAGCAATGTTGCACCGTTAAGGAATTGAAAGACAATCAGAAAGATTTAGACATGTTGCACAATCATTATGAATTAAATGACTACACTGCAATTTAGATGCGCTTACTTCTGCTCCAGAAGTGGTGGTTTCATAAAATTAAGAAAGAATTGCTACGCGGGAATCGACATAGGAATTGCGAATTCTCAACTTCACTGCTGAAGCGTGTTTACATGCGGCGTCGTATAGGCAGAAAATTCGACCTCATGAAGTAATATCTCTCACCTGGGCTGGAGCTGGTGGTACCGCCAGGGCCGGTATGCCGAGAGTTGGGGGCATACTGTAGAGAGTGCGAGAAACACATACACTACCTTCATGCAGGAGTTCTGGTGGACAAGCACAAACCCCTAGTGAACATATCGAACCTCCAGTACATTCCACTCCCGGTTCACATGATGCACCAGGAAGAGCCTAAAATCAGAGCTACACTTCTTCGTTGTATCTCACAAAAATCGTTTAAACAAATGTGTCGTGAGAAGCATTGCTCTAATCATTTAAATACTGCATATTTACGACTTAAGCGAACATCTACTTTATACGGAACTGTTTGCAGCTTCCATAGATCTAATAAGAAAAGTGCTCAACCGCACACTAATAATTTCTTTTCTTACTCATCGACATATCTCATTTAAGATGTCAAAACTTAAAAGCTAATTTAAAAATAAAAGGAGGCAGTCCACTTAGTTTATTTCATTGGGTACTCTCACTTCTATACCAAATACTATGTGACATTTTGGCAACGCAGTTATAGTAATAAGCAAGGAAAAACTCTCGGCGTTGATCAATCCCTGAGGGATGCGCCAGGCATTCGACATCATTAAGCATCGTTTGGTGGTGACTGAATGCATATCTGACCTTTACAATGACTCGCGGTGGCCTACCGATGTATCGAGCCAGTGCTGCTATCCTTCGGCGACCCTGGAGGGGTGGAACGCTTGGTGAGCCATGGGCGCAGAGCGCGATTCCACATGTGTGCTGCAAGGCGCCCCCGACCACTGCTCCACACGCGGCCTTCTTTGGCAGTTATACCGACAATTTTTTGGTTTTCATCATTTAAATGTAGCGTCTGTTCCTTAAAATATCCCAGTTGAAGCTTGTTTTTCGACCACAGGCGGGAATTTTTTCGTGATTGGATAGTGAAGGGGCTGAGAATTCCATTCCCATAGAAGGGACTTTGCTCATCATATATAGCATATCACCTACGATATATATATATACATAGTTTTTTATAAAATATTGTTTCAATTTTAATTGTTGAAATTCGAACTCCAAGGAATTGAAAACGAGATTTGAGTTTTTAAAATTTCGCATGTAAACCGGACAATCACAAAAAGCAACGATACATTGGGGAACACCATCTGTTGTACTGAACGAAATCCCGCTTCTTCGATTACTTTCGTACTCGAAATATCACTCTCTACACAATGGCGTTGGTAATTTTCTATATGATTGAGTTGACACGTGGTTGGTATAAAAAACATTTTCGGATATCGTTTGGGCGCCATCGCCTTCTTCATAGCCGACTTGATCCGAGTCGATTGTCCACTGCTGGTTCTTGTGGCAATATTAGGTATTGATCATATAGAAAATTATTGAGTATTCTTTCCGAGCTTGAATAAAAGTCCGTTTTAAAGATATTGCCGCGTTACACATCAGCAAATAGAGTGCCGACTACTACAGGACAGATTGCTCTCCAAAATCCACATGATATTGGATGGCAAAAATCGATCATAATCCGTCCTGCATAAAAGGGCACCAAGGAGTGAGGTTCCTTCAGTGAGGCAGTGCTCCAGTGAATTCAACTTGATGCAACTACTTACACCAAAATCTCAACTACAACCAGCCATAGACCATAAACCCGGATCAACACAGCTCTGAAAGAGGCGCAGGCACCGAAACGCTAGCCGAATACAGAGTTTTTAATACAACCTCGTTTCAGCTCCATATTATAGAAACTATTAACCGCTTTTGACGATTTTTATTAAAAGTCGGTTGCGTGATACGATACGTGACACTGAGTTCGAAAAAACTAGGATTTCAAAAGGTCAGGAAAATTAAGTAAGGCTCACAAGTTCTAATAATTTTTGTCCATTGTTTTCGCAACGCAAGACTCCACGTGAGGCCGCACCATCAATGTGTTCAAATAAATTTTAGGCGTTTGTGTTCAAGCTAAGTGCCATTTCACCCACTTCAACGTGGTGAATCCGCTCTATGTTTCCATGTCTTTTGATTTTATAACGTTTTATCATAAATCTGAGCTATCTAAATGCAGAATGTTCTCGCTTAAATTCAAACTTGGATATAAAGGAACGAAACCGGTCGTGCTATCAGCATTGTTCCTTAGCTAATAGACTGTTAAGCACCTTGCAATGCAACATTGAACTGATTTTCGAATACCGCCGATGACCGCTGAGAGCTGTTGATTAGAGGAAATCAGCAAGCAGCTCAGATGATTAGAGGAGCCATTTAAGAATATGGAAACGACCACCGATTCTAACTCACACCGGACCAATCAGGCATTCTGTGACAACGCAGTTGGAAACTGGTATAAGACTTATCTGCGAAACGCTTCCTCCGATCCACAAAAACTAACGATTGTCTGTTATGAAGATTGTTTTAGTACGACTATCCTAGATTCCAAAGAGAACTTACTCCACCAGTGTTCAAGAAAGACCGTATCTTCGAGCAGCTTCGAATCTGCACGTAAATCCTAAGGTTTGGTGGAAAACAGATGGTTAGAACGCGCTGCTGCGATCCGCAGTGTCTTAAATTAATTATCCATTTGAAAGAACAATCATAACGAAATCAGAGCAAAATATAACAACGGTTTGGAAATCTGCCTAACGACGAAGCGTAACCAGAGCACGAGTGTCGAAGTACTTCAGTAGAGTTTGAATTTTGAGAGAACTAGTAAACTGATGCAGAATGAACTGAAGAAAAAGCAAGAGATCGTCGTTATTCAATTCTCACAGATTTTTTTGTGTAACAAATACTATCAGTTTCTCGGCCTCATTATGGGGGTGAGCAGTTAAAAAGGGAATTTACCAGAGAATTGACGACGCTTGTGCGATATTGGAGGATATGAAAACACCCTGACACTTCTCAAATCCAAATTTGTGTTTAAAAAAGACATGAATGTTTTGCCTTTAGAAAATGGAGTAACTCGTCATAACCTGGTGTCTTACAACAAACACTCTAAAACTTTCAGAGATGAAGACATGAAGTTCTACCCCATTCATTGTCCGACATTGTTGCCCGACTAAACAAAGAGATTCAGATTTCTGTCAAGAAACTCCGTTAAGTCAATCCAAAGTCGTGATCGTTTCTGGTATTGCGTCTTCTCGCTCATTCATAATAGTCAAAGCCTGCTCGCGGCGACCTTTTGTAGAAGTTGATCTGGTCTTACAAATTGCTGTCAATTTCTTATACATCAAAAAGTATTTGATCACTCTAGTATGGAATAAAACCAAGATTATCGACAATGAAATCGAAAACCAGCAATGATTTGAGCTGGCCCTCAATACACACTATCATTGGCTCGATGCTTCACTGGGACTATCTAAACACTAATTCTCTCCAGGAACGAGAAATTTTCACGAAACCTGTCTGAGGAGGTGGAAACACAGACTAGGTCCACCAGTCAACACATGTTTTCCGCAAGTCACTGTACAGGTCAGATGTGCACTCAATCACCACTCGATGCTTCCCAAAACTGTATGCCAATTTTCTGACTCCAGATTGAGCGAGGAAGTTTACTACAAGCACATAACTGAACCAACAACCTTTGTGCATTGCAAGGAACACTAAGCACTGAGCTATACTCATTCCCTGCCTATAGCTTAGTATTTTGCAAAAATAAAACACTAGAATACGAATGCTTCCATGTGCAATTTAAAACTTGAGGTCACCTGGGGAATAAGTCGACTGGAAAGCAGATGACTTGGGGCGAGAAGTATTGGTACTACTAGTGTTTCTGCACAACCAATGATGGGATTGTATACGGCAGAATTCTGAGAGCATTGACAAATGCCAGAGACACATCTGAAAATAGTTGATATTCATGGAGCGGCTACAATTTATGGGATCTTTGGTTAACATAGAATTTTGGAAAACCCTTATGAAGTCCTAATGTTAACTTTTTATTTGCTATCTACTACAATTTTTCACAGCAGGGTACTATGTTAATTACAACCATAATAATGTTTAGATGTCTGCAAAGCTCCGGACGGCAAATGTCTGCGTTGGGAAACGAACGCGCTATTACCCTATCCGGAGGCTAACGGGTTCAGCACCGCACCATGCGGGCTCTTCGTTTTGCTTGTCTCTCCGCCTTATGTGTTAGACACCGAAGCGACGCCGATTTTCGCTCAGGTGGTAAAATTGGCTATGTGGTCTTTCCACTTCCGCTACCTTATCACCAAAATTGGAATTATTTTACTCAGACTAATGGAATTATGTAGGCATAAAATAACTGCACTCACGCGGCACCGTCCGTACACTCAGGAAAGCATGCCGGACCAAGGCCACCTATAATCACAGAAGAATTGGTCAACTAAGAGTGTCCTTTGCTCATGCGGTTTCAAAAAAAAGAACAACAACAAACGATGATGGTTGAAAAAAGAGTATGCAGTTCTATGGTATCCTACGTCAAATTCTACCAATGATTAGAAACATTTAGGTTTTCCCGCACAAAAACATCATTTGTGGAACTTCGAAAACTTGTAGTCGTTCGTATCCAAGAAAGCCACTTAAAAATTTTTTCCTTTTTAAACACAAACGACCAAAAGCCGATTTTTTCCCTGTATTCTGAATGAGATATGCGGAGCATGTCTACATTTTGTTAAACTTTTACCTTTCAAAAATGCGCTTTTAACGTTCTCTAGTCGTTTCTGTATGAATCTAGACTACTGTTATACTCACCGTATTGTCCGGCGGTGATGGCGATGGTGAAAAGCCACTGGTAGAAAAACGACCGCATGGGTGCTCTCGTTCCAAAATCCTGAATTTCTATACGCCTTTATGAGCGCAGAGAGAGGCCGTAGGTGGCCGGACCCAGAGACTGCTTGCTGCTGTGGGAGCTCCACACCGTATGGCCACTCCCAAGAACCCATGCGCACCGCAAGGATCACGGCCACCGTAATCGATTGTAATAATGATTGCAGGGCAAGTTCTCGAAGTTTGGAAGAAGTGATGTTCTTATAAACCACAAACTAATCGTCTGTTAGTGTTCTTCTAGAGAAATAGGATTTTTTTCCTCTTTAGGCGCAAAGGTAGTGCTGTCTCTTTCAATGAAAATAAACTGTTATTGATTAATGGAGCTATTACTGTTATTAAAGTGTTATTACTTTGCTCATTTGGATGTGGCAGGGGAGAAAAAAGATGAAAAAAAAATGGATGTTAACGAATCTCTATTCTTTCGTGACTTTTAAACAAAGGTAACAACGAGTACTTACAAATGACTTGAATGTTACATCTTACCAAATATGCAGTTGTTCAGTTTGCTGAAAACCTTATTCTCTTGCCTGCTTTGGAGGGACACCAAGTGTTATTGTATCAAAAACCAAACCGCTCCCTTTCAATTTTATAACACTTATGACAATCTCAAATGAGTGTATTATTCACCTTGATTAAACTGTACCTATTTCTAATATTTTTTGCCTTTCAAAAACATCCCTCCTAAGTTCATACGAAATTCGATGCCGTATCTTTTTCCTTTTCAAATCCCCTCGATAGTTTACCACCCCATCGTGCATGAGAACATAGACCTGTGTGTTCAAAAGTGCTGTACAGTGAGGTGCATAACACTGTCACCCATCACGGATGATCAGGCCGAGAATGAGTTCAACATTTCAATACAGTTACTCAGCAAAATGCGAATGAATTCGAGGTATGATTGTCGTCCTGCTAGTAACCATGTCACGGGATAACAAATCTCCTCGCGATGCACAATCGTCGGCGACACTACCTGTAGTGAACGGTTAGGAGAGAAGTGCTGAATAGAGATTCCTAAGCCTTACGACTAGGCCTGAGCTCTTCAACAAAATTAATCTTATACACCGTAGTAAATTTCGGTTAAAAATGAAGGGCGTTTTCAGTTGCCTTAATCGCTTTTGTGAATCCTTCTCAATAACCCGATAGACCGTAATTGGCACTAACCGATTAGAAAAAAATTTTTGCCACGCAGGTAACTTTTCTTTGTGAGTCGCATATCAGGAAGAGCGAAAATCTTGCTCACCGAAGAATCACGACTGAAGTGGAAGTTGTGCTAGGTCATAGACTTTTGTTTCTGAAGAGATGGCATTTAGTTATTCAAGCGAGTGTTCGCACGAAGATTGTGAAAGATTTTATACTTTTTTTCTTTGCACGAACCGCACTATCTATTTGTCACCGTCTTTCTTTCATTTCCGGCAACTGCTTGCATATTTCTACTGCACTTCTTAAACGTTTCCACATGAACACCTTAATTTAAAAGAGTAAACAAGCAAGTAATAAAGTGATTATTTCGACTGCTTCTCCGCGAAACATAACAGAACCATAGATTGCATGATATTAGATTCGAAGCCGCTCCATAATATTTTTTTAGATTACTGAGCCTGTGAGAGATTGACATAAAATAAATGATAAAATAATGAAATTTCCATCCTATGATTTTCTCCATGATTTTCCTCATTCCATAAAAGGAAGACAAGTTTTAAAGCTAAAAAGTTGGATGGGAATTCGGTTTTGAAAGAAAGATCTCAGCGACAGCTAGCAAAATTTTAGCAGTTTATTGTTGTCAATTCATTTGTCCAAGGCTGGGTATCATCTGGTTTCTGGAGGCATCTCGGTCGAATGGTCATAACTCAGTTGAGTTGCATTTTGTTTGCACTTCACACTACGTTCTGGTTTCGGCTTTAGATTTGCAATGTTGACAAGACGAACCATACGACAACGAGCAAGATTCAGTCAACTGTAACTGGCTTCGTTCTGGAAATCTTTAGGAGACCATGCGGTCTTCGAAAAATTATTACAATGTGCTAGTTGGGCAACAGATAAGACATTAGCCAAGAAATTACAGCGAAACTATAACAAGAAATGAATTACTGTGACCGTACTCAGTTAAGTACTTTCTGCTGTGCAACCTTTAATAGAAGGTGTTTATTTCGTACCGTACTCCACATGGGACTATTTAGATCAATGTAGAGCGCTTAGATAAGCATGGGTGAGCTGTCTAGGAGAGTTACTACTGTGGTCATTTCATGGCGGTTTCCTTCTTCCATCCATCCATTTTTTTTTGGTAAGAATGAAAATTATTCGAAAGCGAAAGTTGACGTTACATTGTAGTTGGAATACCATGAACACAAACTGTCCTTCGGATAACTTTCTATCCAACATTTGCTAGAAGGTATTTCGGAGCGAATCGAGTGCTCTGGAAGAATTTCCACCTGAATTGTCCACAAATGACGTTTCCACCGAGAATAGAATGGTTTCGAGAAAAAAACTATCGTAACGCCCTGCTGTTCTGTCAATTATCACAAATCACCTGGAATTTTGTCAATAACCGTGTCGAAGGATGTTAAAAACTAACAGCTTCGGATCAACAAGCTTTCTAAAAGTCAAAGTTTTTTATTTTTTTGCTTTATTTTCACGATTTGTCATCAGATCTGCTGTGCGAATCTTAGCAGTTCTTGCATTCGAGAAGTTTTCCTCGTTTTCATCGTCCAAAAAGGTCATTGAACATTTCGCTCGCTCGTTCAGCTGCTGCATGACGATTTCATTTTCCCTACAAATGTCGTAGAATACTGGTCGAATCGATTCTCGTTGCAATGTTGGAGATAGCCGGGAAATGGCGTTCCCACATGAATTGGGAAAGAGCGTTGCTGTGAGGATCGAACAAGCGCCTTTGCTTCCTGATCTACGGCACCACTAACGTTCGTGTGCTGAGTTCGCCCCAAAGGTCGGAATAGTGGGATAAAATGGTAAACACGCCATGGAACCTTTATTCCCAGACTTTCAACTCTTTTCGATTTTTTCTCTGCGTATTGTGGAATATTAAATAAGAAAACTACATGTCATGAGACCATTTTTAAATAAGAAAACTTAGATAAACTATAAGAGTTGAAGATGGATGATTGGAATAATCCGCTCAGTACATTCTATAGGAAAGCCCAATATATTGACTGCTGAATCATATGAAATTTCTAGAGTTATCGTGCTACATAAGTCCACTCAATCCTAAGTCCAATAGTGGAACGTGTGCGGGATTGCCTCAATATCAGTGAAATTTGGAAAGATGGACATTCGAGCTATTATATCTATGTATCCAATTTATTCGTGTAAAACTAACACTTTGTGCAGCGCAGTAACCAGAAATGCTTCACAATTCACGTTGGATCGCAATCTGGTTCCAGCTCACACTTTGCCTTCGACCGATCCCACACGATATATTGGTGCCGAACTTGATCAAAGCAGTGACTTGATACATCGGTACACCACCGTAAGTCATTATATAGGGCAGAAACATGAATTCAACCAGCTCTATGACGCCATGAATGGAGCTGAATGCAAGGTATTCCTTTAGTGATTGACAAGGCCAAATGCTTTATTCTTTTCACTTTAAAACAAACATCTGCCTAACACGTCTTCGTCTGGAACGTTAACTAATTTTGAGAGTATTGTAAAAATTTGTGTGGTTATTTCATGTGTGGTAGTCAGAAAAAAAACATCGCTAAGTACATTCATCTCGACTAAAAGCTTTCTAGACAACTGTGATTGCATATTCAAGCTTTGTTGTAAAATAGGTACCATGGTTAGCAAAAACAAAAGAATATTCGCCACCAGGTAAATTTTGCAGCACTCCTTCTTCAACGAGCTTCACAGTGATCAATCGCAGACGAGGATAAACCAAATGTCGTTCGTCCTGTAATTCAAAAAACATGCCCATAAAATCAGTCTAAGTCAACAAACCGTGTTAATGCAGCAAGCATTCATTTACGTAACGATATTTTTCGTTTGTTATTTATTCGCTACAAACTTACATGTACCACTACTATAGTCATTAGGTAACTAGAGTAAGCACAAGTCTTTAGTCAGCAGTTCGTACATCCCGCCCACTTAAATGGTACGGATAGTGTATTATTTCTTGATAAGCTTGCACGAGGTTGATAAATATATTTATTTTCGGCTAACGTTTCGACGTCTTCGTCTTCCT